CGTCTAATACCCGACTTAATCGACTAGTGAGGCGTTAGCTAGCTCTAGTGTAGTGCTATCTAGCCGTGGTGTGGCGCACGCTAGTTCTGATGTTGTACTATCTAGCCATGATGTGGCGATAGCTAGTTCTCACGCAGTTCTTATTTTACTATACTAGAAGTAGTCTGGAGTAAACTAGCGCCAGGCTACTTCTAGACTTCAGACATTATTAACATAGTATATTTCTAGCGCCTCGCTAGAAATAGCTTGACGCTGATTCGCTCCACGTCAAAACTAAATTTATTATATTAAATGGGGATACAACATGACAGTCAAGATGGGAGCTAACTAGACATCAGGATCTAGCATGACACTTTCTACCAGGGATGTCCTCTTTCGGCATCGATGTAATGTTGACCGCGATCGAAGAATGTTTGAAGATTGGTGTTTCAGAAATTTTCACGGTTTGCATCGGAATGTGGATTAGTGAATATCATCCAATCTTTTTCCTTTACATTTCGAGTTTTAGAAAGAGAAACTAGCCACAGGGAGTCAAATCAGGTAAAAATATACGACGGGCAATTGATGACTGCTATTTAGGTCTGCTTTTTGTCCAAAAGACTGAAATACGACCGCAGTACTCTGTCGCTCAATGCGACAAAAATCAAGAACACATCTTTTGTTTGTTCAAATCAATGCGTGAAATGTTATTCCTGAAATATTGTCGAAGCTTTTTTTTAGACGACCAACCGTTCGTCGTTTTCCAGATCTTTTCCTCGCCTTTAAATTTTGCAAACCAATCAAAAACTCGTATACGAAATAGATAATCGCTGTAAAATTGTTTTAGTATTTCACAGGTTTGCGTAGCGATTTTACCGAGTTTAAAATAGAACTTGATATTGACTCGCTCCATTGTATTTTCGTGACGAAATGTACTAAGATATTGTCACTTCGACTGCTATAATTCCTATATCGATACTTATGAAACGCCGATACTTGTTAAAGCCAACACGAAGCCTCAAAATGATGTTAATTATCGATATAGCGCTTACACAAAACATTTTTAAAAATTAATCTCATTATTTTTCAAACATCGTGTATACAGTGAGCACTTGAGAAAGATTGATTGATAAATTGTATTTTAGATCGATTGAGTCTGTATTGATTATCTCTCTTTATAACTCACCTTTACAATCCGATGAATTAAAGCTAAATCTCATTAAACTTACAGCAGAAGTGCAAATGGTTTGTGATAGAAATTTGAGCCAACCTAGAAACAATCTGAAATTACATCGATGATTTTTTAAGATTATTGAAGAAAAGCATTATTGATTCTAGACGTGTCGAAGATATGTTAAAGTGATCGTGAGTATCAGAGATTGTGAGTGGATGTCGCGATCTAAAGAATCAATTTTTAATAGATCGTATAGATCAATTGATCGATCGATCAATAACGTACGGCGTAACATGCGATCCATACGTAGAATATAGGTGGTTTTGATTACGGTAAAAATCGGTTTTGATTACGATGGATAGGCAAGTAGGATAGAGAGGGGACATAATGACAGAGATGCGCGAATAAATGGGAGCAAGACGACGCTATAGAATCATCGAAAGAAACGCGTGTTCGCGGACGTCCGCCGACGCTCGGCGTCGTTCGTGCAACTCGTTGCAGCGAGGCGGGGTTTAGGCGGGGTCGATACGAGGCACCTTCTCTTTCCGTACAGCGTCGTTGTTTTCTTAATCGTACGAATATCAAAATACCGCGGCGACTATCGCCGACGATTCAGCGCAACCGCAGCTTTTCGCGCTCGCGCTCTTTCTTTTCATCTTTTCCTCTCTTTTTTTTTTCCTTCCTCATCGATAATAATCAATCGCAATGTTGCTCGCATGTACCGTTCGTGTTCTTGTAACCAGTTAGTTGGTCGGAAAAACAACGGTAACATTACGGAGCAAGGCACGGCGTAGCTCTCGCGCGAAAGTCGCGCGTAGGGATGCGTGGGGGTGTGAGGGGGCAGACGGGATGGGAAACTCGAGAGGGGAAACGGCGAGTGTGCGCGCGCGCTCTTCGGTTCGACTCGCACCGGTCGATCGACGTGGTAGATGACTGAAGGACGAGTACAGCGAACTGACTAACGGCGAGAAACGCCGCGCGGCGCGCGATCACCGACGGTGATCGTACAGTGAGGCGAGAACGCACGTCGACCGGCGGTATTCGACACGACGACTACAATTAGTGCGCGATACGTGCGCACACATACGCGGTCGTTGTGTCGTTAACATAACGGCCGACATGGGAACGTGATGCTACGTGGCCGCAATCGCCGCGCGTCGCCTATCTGTCCGGAGTCAAAGGACTCGACGACAACTCGTGCTCGCCTACGTCGTGCACGGGAAGGGAAGCGACACCGAGAGCGACGAGTACGAGCAACGAGCGCTATCGGACGCCTCGGGGCCGGGGCGCCGTTGCACGGCGACGGACGGAGCGGCGTTGCCACCTCCTCGCCGTGGCCGCGGTCGCGGCCACCACTACTGCTGCCATCGCCACCACCGCCGCCGCCGCCGCCGTCGCTACCGCTGCCGCTGTCATTGCCACCGCCACCGCCGTTGTGTCGTCGTTGCCACGTCCGCCGCTACTTTCCACCTCCGGGAGCGACGACGACGACGACGACGACCATCTCCTCGGCAACGCTGCTGGTAAGTGCTGCTAATTTGCATATGCACTCTCTTTTGTAGAATGTCCGTGCCTGATTCGGAGCGACACGCCGCGCGGCTCCGTTTCGGTGTATGCGACGCGCAGTCAGGTTTGGTGTGTACTCATCGTGTGGTGGTGGTGCTGTAACGCGTTGCTCCGTAACGGTAGTAGGGGGTCATGGTAGTCCATGCCTGAATAAAAGGTATCGTCTCCCACCTGAGAGAACTTGCACTCACGACCTCGAACCTCGGATGTCACTTTTGGATCATTGCGAGCGATAAGGCTGTCTCAAGTGCGCGTAGTTGTGCGCTAGTCGATCGGAGCCGCGCTATCTTTCGGAGTACGAATAATGTAAAAGGATAGTGCGCATGATATATGCACCTCCCCGTAGCATCACGAGTGATAATTTACCTATCATATCGCAATGATTTGACGCACGACGAATGATGCGAATGTAGAAAGAAAAATAATACCTACGTTTAAATTTTATTCCTTTTAAACAGTTGAAACGCATATTTAAATGGACGCAATTATTGGTGCACAAAAATGTTAACCGTTTTAATGCCGCAGAATACATGTGAAAATGCAAATTATTAACCATTTAACGTTGGATATATCTATCGTATTTTACTCGACACTCGTGTTTGCACTTCTTGTTAATCAAATATTTAACTAGACTTTTCCAGACTTTTCGCAAACAAGGTACCATACGTTTCGTGCAATAATTCACTTTGTGCATTTTTTTATATTCGAACAAAAATATGATTATGCTAAATATATTTTCTAATTATATGGACAAATTAAAATTTTTTTTATTTTTAAATCAGTTTAAATCAGTTTTTATTTTAATTTAAAATTTAATTTAAAATATTGTAGGTTTTGCTTTATTTTATGATTAATGAATTTATTGCACGCCTCGTTTTATTGTGCATTCAAACACACCAATTAAATATTCCGTGAAATAATGGACTGCAACAATAATAGCATCATAATATTTTATTTATTTGTAGAATGATTCCAAAATTACCAAAGAGCCTATAGTTACAAAATTCGTATAATATAATACGATAAAAAAATATAATTTGCATTTTCTTCTTTCATGTAGCACACCAAACCTGACTGAAAGTATATTACGCTATTTTTTTATCGTCCAATTTTTTGTTCTTCTTTTCTAAACTGTTTTAACGCTTCACTTATTTTATATATGGAACATGTAAGAGGTGAATATAATACGAAACTTTTCAGTTTTTATTAGCTACCACGATATCTTTAAAATATTTTGAATTTATAAAAATTTCGAGCATTTTGAACAAAAATTTTATTTTTGGTTTCAACATCCATTTGCAACATGATCTTGTATACAATCTATTTCGCGACTTTCTCATAAAAATTGATAGTTTTAGGTAACTTCGGAGCATGTTCAGAATAAATTCGAAAACGTGGAAAATTTTTTTATATGTGGTTTTGTTTTTAAATAAATTCCTATTTTTTGGAGGTTGACAAATTAATAACATATTTTTAGTATAAGTTTATATAATAACAAGCTTGATAACAGTTTGGATAAATAATATAAAATTTCAATTCCAATATAAAGGAAAACTTTAAAAAATTTAGAATTTTTCGTTTAGAATTCAATAATTAGAATTTTCTGAAAGCCAAGATTCGATCGGTCGTTATTAGCTTTTTAAGCAGCCGAAAATAGAAAACTCGATATTCTACTCGTCCTTTTTGGTTTTTCGCGACAGCAACTCAGAAATCTTGGGATCGATCCGCATTCGTCTGACCTCGCGAGTTTGTTTATCCGGCGCGAGCGATGACACGTGACTCGATTTCCGACGAGTCACGGTATGCGAGGAACGTTTTCTGGACTTGGCGCCCGTGTCTTCTCTCCATCTCTCTCTTCTCTTCTCTTTCTCTCTCTCTCTCTCTTTCACTCACACACACACTCATTTACTCATTCACTCTCACTTTCGTAGGAATATATGGGAGCTAAGAAGTGATCATCCCCTCTTGTCGTGTTTCTAGCTTTGACGGATTATTCACAAGCCAAAATAGTTTTCATATGGCTATATAATGTTCGATATATCGCACAGATGGTGATTGATTTTTATTTTTAAAACTATTAATTCTTTATGATCTATTATGTCACCACTAATGTAGCCTTCATTTAAATAAAATTTTAAAAATATACAATTATACGGTGACTGCAAATAGGAATTATATTTTACCTTATTGCTATAAGAAAACACATACACACATACACACGTACACACGTGTATTATATATCAAGAGACACGGTAGTGTCTCGCGCCAAGTTCACGCGCAGCGACAAGACCGACCGTGTATCTTTACGCGAGCCCGAAAGTTGAGACGAGCCGAGATTATCGGATCTCAATAACGGCTGGGCCGATTGAGTTGATAATAGGCTCAATCGATAGCGCATACCCAAATTATATAGAAAAGTATGCTTGTTTTTACTATAGGTGCTGTAGAAAAAAAGTTATAATAGTCCAAAGTCGAAATGTCTAATCAAGAGACACGGTAGTGTCTCGCGCCATAAATAAAATAATACGATAAAAATGTCCAGCTAAAATGTCCTGCTAAAATGTCCAGTTTCCGATTTCTGACGTTAGGTGCGCTGATGGCGCTGAGAAGCCGCGCTGCGTGCGCTTACGATTTGACATTTTTACATAACCTTTCAGATCAGAAAGTGTTATAAAAAAGTAATAATAGTGAATTCGGTTAACAAATTTAGTCACTCGCACTACATTGTTCTGTTATTTTGGTGCACACTCAAGACTGCTTATCAATCCAGAGCAGTGTAGTGCGAGTGACCAAATTTGTTAGAAATTCGTATTAAATGAAATAAGTGATATGTTGGTGAATGTGAATGCCTTAGTAAGTATCTACTACACCTTTGAAAATTTTTTATTTTGCAGGTTATTCATACATGATTCGAGACTTTAGAGGATGATTTGTCTAAAATAAATAAAATTGAATAGCTCAAAGTTTAATATTTCTGTTCTGAGTATTCTAGATTAGTTTCAACAATATTTGTAATTTTCAG